GGAGCATGTAGGTGCTCACTGAGGCAGCACTGCCAACAAGCGAAACCCTGGATTCTGGTATTTTCTAGGAAACGTTCTACTTCAGAAATCTGAAAATGGGGAACCGGAGAGATGGCTCAGGGATTTAAAAGCACTTGCTGCTCTCACAGAGGAGCTGGGTTCAGTGCCCAGCACCCACACAGTGCCTCACAGCCATCTGTAACTCCAGTCCCAGGAGACCTCACACAAAAATAGAACAATTTTTTCCAGACAGGGTTTCTTTGTGTAGTCTTGGCCGTCCTAGAACTTGCTCTGTAGATCAGGCTGGACTCGAACTCACAGAGATCCGCCTGCCCCTGCCTCCCTTGTGCTGGGATTAAAGGTGTACGTCACCAATGGTGCACATAAGAAGTTCCAGGACAGCCAGAACTACACAGAGAAACCCTGTCTCAAAAACAAATTTTAGAAAGAAACATGAAAAAGTATTTTTATTCCCCACTCTTACCGGATTCCTCCTCTGCTAGACTTCATTCTAGAATGGAATTCTCCTGGTTTCATGGCAATGCCCACAAGAGGGCAGTAGAAACCAGAGCATGAAGACAGGGTGCCCTGGTTTCTAGCTCCTGCCCTCCTTCCACCCCAGACTGTGAGTTCCTTGAGGGAAGAGTGTACCCAAGACTGCATCAGGCATATATAATGAGTCCTGGTCCTCGGTAACTGCATCATCACAGGGATGACAGATAGACTTAGGGAAAATCGTCCCCGAGGATTCTTCTTGCTGCAAATCCAAGTGAGAGCTATGGCCGACTTGGGTGGCTGAGACCCGCAGCACAGAAATCTCCTTAGGTCACTAGGTGACAGAGCTGGGATGCCTGGGCCCCGAATCAGCTCTCTGTTTGTTCCTATCAGATCTGGTCTTAACAGCACTTAGAAGCTCCTAATTCCATAAACCTAGAAGTAAAATAGAGCAGGGGAGATGAAAATAGCAAGGCTCTAGAAGATCCAAGTCTCCCGTTCCAAGAGCCTGCTCTAAATGCTGGCGGTCTTGACAGAGACTCCCTATCCTGGCTAGTTTTACATCCGCTTGACACTAGAGGCGTGTGGGAAGAGAAAATGCCCCACCAGACGACCTGCAGGTAAGGCTGACGTGCTTTTCTTGGTTGAAGATGGATATAAGAGGGTCCAGCTCTCTGTGGATGGTGCCAGGCCTGAGCTGGGGGTCCTGGGTTTTAGAAGCAAGCAGGCTGAGCTTCCCTCCATGGCCTCTGCCATGAGCTCCCACCCTGACTTCCCTTGGTGACAGACTGTGATTGGGCCGTCTAAGCTAAGCAGCCCCTCTGCTCCCCAAGCTGCCTTTGGTCAGAATGTTTTATCGCAACAACAGGAAGTGAACTAAAATACCCTAAATCCTGCCTCCACTCTGGGGTCCAGGGAGTGCAGGCATACGACCCAGCCCTCAGTTATCTCATGTTGGCTTGAGGGTCAAAAGGGGGGGATGTCTCCAGAAAGCCACCCACACGGGCCGTGTGGCACCCTCTCCACACACCCTCATGCTGCAGGGACTGCCAAGCCCACTGTTGACTTCTGCCTTCCCCACTGATGCTCTTCATATTAATTCCTCCCAGGACCCAACCACAAATCCATGCAAACCTGAGCGAGTTCATCCCTCCATTCTGATAGATGCCCCATTGCTTCCCTTCTGTATTTATGAATCAATCATTGCTTCTCCCAGGAAGCAACCCTGGAAGTCTTTATAATACACACTTTCCCTTACATCTAACCTCCATTCCAATCACAAGCCCCATCTCCTCCTCCTAGCCTGGAACTCTGTGTTTGCGCCACTGTGTGGACTAAGATACACCCTGTAGCCCAGTCTTCCATCTGTAAGATGTGTCCGACACTGTTGAGAGGCTGGCCATGGAGGGCTGAGCAGACGCCGCAGGGCTGCCATCACTGGAACCCACAGGTTTGCGTCACAGACATGAATAATCAAATAACAGCGGTGAGAAGCGCTGTGAAGGAAATACAGCAGGCAGTGTGACGAGTGCTGAGTGAGATGCTTTTGTTTCTGAACACTTGTGTGTTTTGCTTGTGTGGACACCCCATGGATGGTGGTTTAAATGACAATGGCCCCCATAGGTCCACAGGGAGTGGCACTATCAGGAGGTGTGGGCTTGTTGGAGGAAGTGTGTCATGGAGGGTGAGCTTGAGGTCTCAGAAGCTCAAGCCAGGCCCAGTGTTGCGTTCTTCCCCCTGCCTTTGGATCTGGAACTCTCGGCTCCCTCTCCAGCATTGTGTCTGCCTGCCCATTGCCATGCTTCCCACCCTGACAATCACGAACTAAACCTTTGAAACTGTAAGCCAGCCCCAATTAAATGTCTTCCTTTATAGGCATTGCTGTGGTCACTGTGTCTCTTCACAGCACTAGAAACGCTATACCATGTGTGCAGTGCCTGAGGAGGCCAGAAGAGGGCACCAGATCCCCTGGAACTGGAGTTACAGAGGGTTTGTGAGCCGCCCTGTGGGTGCTGGGAACAGAACTTAGGTACTCTGCAAGAAGAGCAAGACCTCCCAATCACTGAGCCCTCTTTGTGGCCCCCTGGTTTGGAATGAGAGTGGTCTCATATGGACTGGCCTCTGTACTATCTGAAGAGGACCTTGAACCTTGAACACCTAATCCTCATATCTTTACCTCCCAAGTGATATGTAGATTTTTAATTATTTAAAAATATCTGGGGGCTGGAGAGATGGCTCAGAGGTTAAGAGCATTGCCTGCTCTTCCAAAGGTCCTGAGTTCAATTCCCAGCAACCACATGGTGGCTCACAACCATCTGTAATGATACAAATATCATGGTGAAACCTATTTCTTTGTACAACAACTTAAAAGTCACATAAAATAGGGTGGTTAAGAGCAGTGGCTGCTCTTCCAGAGGACCTGGGTTCAATTCTCAGCACCCACATGGCAGCTCCCAATGTTTGTAACTCCAGTTCCAGGGGATCTGACCCCTTCTTCTGGCATACTCAAGTATCAGGCACACATGTGATACACAGGCATACATGCAGGCAAAACACTTATCCATATAAAAAAAAATAAAATTTTAAAAATGTATTAAATAAAAAACAACAAAGGAGACATTGTCCTCATTTCTATCAGGGATTCCTCCCAAGACTGAGCCAGCATTATAGCAGGCATTCAAGGACATCAAGATCACCATGCTCCCCCATCTTTCCTTTCTTCTCACGGGAATGGGCCCAGGAACATCTAATATGTATGTTTTCTGACCAACGTTTGCTTTGTCTGTTTTTAAGATTTGCTTTTATTGTTTTGTTATTTGGGGGGAAGGGGGTATGTGCACATGAATGGATCAGAGGTGTCACATTGCCCTGACGCTGGACTTACAGACAGTTGTAAGATGCCAGATAAGGGAGCTGGGAATTAAACTCAGGTCCTTGGGACCAGTAGTATGTGCTCGAAACCAGTTTTGTTTGTTTGAGATGGGACCACATGCAATAGTCTGCGCTGGCCTGGAATTCATAGCAATTATCATGCTCCATCATTCTGAGTGCCGAGATTATAGAGGCGAGCCGCCGCACCAGACGGCACACATGAGGACCAAAGGACAGCTTCCAGGTGTGAGCCGCCGCACCAGACGGCACACGTGACACACACGAGGACCAGAGGACAGCTTCCAGTGTGAGCCGCCGCACCAGACGGCACAGGCGAGGATCAGAGGACAGCTTCCGGTGTGAGCCGCCACACCAGACGGCACACACGAGGACCAGAGGACAGCTTCCGGTGTGAGCCGCCACAGCAGACGGCACACGTGACACACGCGAGGACCAGAGGACAGCTTCCGGTGCTGTTCTTGAGCCACTGCCCACTGTTATTTACCTCACTTTGTTTTTGTTTTTGAAACAGGGTCTTTCATTGGCCTGGGACCCATCTACGGGGCCAGGCTGGCTCACCCAGGAACCCACAGCCTCTGCTTCCCCAGTTCTGAAATCACACACACACACACACCGCCACACCTGGACTCTTTGTTTAATGTGGGCTCTGGGGCTTGAACTCAGTTCCTCCACCTTAGAAAGCAAGCATTTTGCTTTCTCCCCAGGCCCCTTTTTTTGTACTTCCTAAGCAAGGACAGCTCTGTCCATGCCAGAGACGCTGAAGTCTAATTCTGAAGCACAGAAGGAACTCCTCTAAAGCCGGGGCAGTGAGCAGCAAATGCCCACAGGCCCAGCACCTTCAGAGCCATGGCTGAGGCAGGAGAATCATGGAAAATTCGAGGACAGTCTAGGCTACAGAGTGGGACCCTACTTAAAACAAAAACGAATCAACCTCCTGAGGGTTCCAGTTCATAACTTATGTGGTTTCTGGGTCTTCCTGTTCTGTCGCCCTTTTTAACCAATGCAAGTGAGGACAGCTAGGAGCAAGGGATACAAATAACACTCAGCCTGTGTTTCTGTTGCCATGGTGATGTTGACACGTGAAACTCACGTGAGCTCCTTTATACAGTGAAGCCGTTTGATTGCAGAGGCCAAAGAGTGAGGTCACAAACCTGAAAGGTATACACACACACAGAGAGAGAGAGAGAGAGGGAGGGAGAGAGAGAGAGAGAGAGAGAGAGAGAGAGAGAGACATACACACACACAGAGACACGGGGTGGGGGCTAACTGTGCAAAGGGCTTCATGCCACCACCTGAGCTGTCTTGCTGTCTCTTATCCAGATATCAAATAGATGACCAGCTTGCTCCTAGAGCTCCCAAGAACAAAGTCCTCCCCCTCCCCAGAGGCCTGTCAGGTGTATGTTTTGCAATATTCATGGCCCCTCTTGAGTTCTCACCGTCCGTCCTTCTGGCTGGAGCGAACAGTTCCTGCCACTCCCAACCCCAGGCCACCTCAGGGAGAAAAGGAGAAAGGCAAGAACAGCAGGCCCCACACACTGCACCCTCCTCCCCATGGCGCCCTCCTCCTCTTCCTCCTCCTCCTCTGGCCAAATGAAGGTAAGAGAGAGAGCGCGGGCGGGTCTGGATTTAATGAGCATCTCTGAAAACCTCTGTGGGAGGAAGAGGCCCACACAACTTGGAGACCCAGACTGATGGCAACAGGGCTCCCAGGCCTCCAGATGACCCTGCAAGACAGAAGTGGTTACGCTAGATTAGGATTGCGGCCTTTCCCACCTCACAGTAAGAAAAAACAGCTGGGCGGTGGTGGCGCAGGCCTTTAATCCCAGCACTCAAGAGGCAGAAGCAGGCAGATCTCTGAGTTCAAGACCAGCCTGGTCTACAGAGCGAGTTCCAGGACAGGTTCCAAAGTTACAGAGAGAAAGCCTGTCTTGGAAAGCAAAAACAAACAAACAAACAAAAAATAAAAAAAAAAAAAAGAAAGGAAGAAAAAAAAAACAAACTACTAAAAATAACTCCAGCTTTCAGAATGGTTTCAGGAATTATCCTGCCTGTGAGGGGCGGGAATAAAACATGAGGTGCTCTGTCATGTTGTATAAGTAGGAGGGAAGAAAGCAGGAGGGAAGCTGCTCCCAACCTGAAGCTGGGGAAAGGCCTAGGTGTCGACTCCCTCCATCCCCCACCCCCCAGGACACGTCCCACACCCACCCTCTCAATCTGCCTCACTAGATCCTGCCGCTAACACAGAGACACTCGGGGCCTCGGCCTCTAATCCCCCTAAACTGTCAGGGAAATGGCACACCCGCCCCACACTGTTCTGCTCTGCCGTTTCCCGGCTTGCATTCCTTCACACCTAGACCCATAAACCCGTGTTGCTTGTCACAAGAATAAGGCTAACACCCACCCGAGGCTGGATTCCTTCTGGCTTCTCCCAGCAGCTGAGCGTTGTGGCTTTGCTAATTAGACTCCTTTCTTGTCTTTAATTAGCTGCATGTGAATCTTGTGGGGAAGTCTTGGATCTGTGAAATAGTCTGGGACGGAAAATCAGAACGAAATTATCTCTACTGAGGGAGAAAGCCTGGGCAACAGCTTACTCTACTGACAAGTCGGAGGCTTTGTCCTAACCGCACTCACTGGTGGTCCCCACTTTACAATACCATCTCGGCGCTCACCGCCAGGCCCTGGCAGCTGCCGTGATGAATGCCAGGAAAGCAACCCAGGCAAGGCTCATGCAGGTTGCCCAGTTTGGGCTCTTTGGCCGACTTGATGCTCAGGGAGCCACCAAGGGCTCAGGATCTGAGTCCATCTTAGAACCCAAATGAGCACCAAGTATTATTCTGATCTCCACTCGGCTTGCCAGTTGGTATCTCTGAAATACAGACCTTTTCTAGGAACACGTCTCACGGCGAGACGGCAGAAGAGGATTCTTCCGCCAGGAAGAATGTGAGCCACAGCTCTGCTGTGGCAGCGAAAGCGAGCTGAGAGCGCTGTGGGCTCCCAGGGTTAACCGCACCCAAGACACCCGCCCAGCTCCCACTCTACACAGTTTGACCCGAAGTCAGCTCGGCAGCCAAGTCCATTAAAAACCACCTGGGGAGTCTTCAAAACCTTGGCTGCTGGGCCCCCGCCCCAGACTAATTAAATAAAAATCTCTAGAGGCGGGGCCTGAGCATCGGTATTTTTCAAATGCTCCCCCCGGCGGTCCTAACGTGCAGCCTGGGGTCAGGAGCCACTGTAAGATCCCCCGCGGATTAGGGCTGCCCGCTCTCATTTTAGAATCTCAAAACTCATTTGCCCTCCAAGAGAAGTCCTGCCTCGGTGCCACTCTGGCCTCATTCTGAGGAAAAGTCAGGGGGAAGAAAGGGACTTCAAAGAACAGCTCCTGTTGGGGTGAAGAAGAACCCAGGCCCCACAGAAAGCCCTGGGCTTGCCCAACTCTAAATCCCCAATTCAGCTTCTTGCTCGGGCACATGTGACACCCCGGTGCCTCTGTACTCACGCGCAGCAAATTCAAGGATGTTGTCTGGTCTTTTCAGAAACATTTCTCTGAAAAACAGTAAAAAAATAAAAGGAAGGCGGGTAAGGGGGGGAGGGTCTGTGGGTGTGGCCACTGCCCCATCTGGCTCTTTGGGAAGCAGATTAATGACAGGCCTGCCCATTCTAGAAGTCATCAATAAATCAGAGGATCTTCAACAAAAAACAAACCAAACCAACAAACCAGAGGGTCTAAGGTAAGGAACAAAACCATGGAGTGGCCGGGTGTGGTGACCATGACCATGCCATTAATCTGGGCACTCAAGGGACTTAGGCAGGCAGAAACCTGGAGTCCCAGGCCAAGCATCGAGCACCAATGAACCTAGGCCGTTTTCCTGCCACAGAAGAGCTGTGGAGCGGCCAGCAGGCTTTGTCACCTGACACACTTACAAACCCTGGACCAAACATGGCAAAAAAGAGTATCTTCCAGGACCCCAAGGATCTCATGCTGAGTGGACAGAAACGTGACCCTGGAATGGGCTGAGGAATTTTACCATGGCTTTCTCAAGGCCAGGAGACAACAAAGCTAAAAAAAAAAAAAAAAAATTATTTAACAACTTTAGATGCTATTAGCTCTACTACACAGCAGACAGACATGAAAATGTTATCACCAGGATGCTGGAAGTGTCTGACAGTCCAGAAAGTTCTAGGTTTCGTAAAACATTTACTAATACTATATTGCTTTATAACGTCCCTGTAAAATGGCAATTATGTCTCCATTTCCCATGTAAGAAAGCAAGCCTCAGCCGGGCAGTGGTGACACACGCCTTTAATCCCAGCACTCGGGAGGCAGAGACAGGAGGAACTCTGTAAACTGAAGGCCAGCCTGGTCTACAGAGCGAGTTCCAGACCAGCCAAGGCTGTTTGAGAGACCCTGATGTGGGGTGCCCTTCAGTATATGTGTTGCTTTTATCAGTTGATGAGTAAAGCTGTTTCAGCCAATGGCTTAGCAGAGTAAAGCCAGGCAGGAAATTTGAACAGAGATAGAAAGAGTAGGTGGGGTTGAGGAGATGCCATGTAGCCGCCAAAGGAGAAAGAGGTATGAACATTACCAGCAAGCCACGAGCCTCATGGTAAAATATAAACTTTTAGAAATGGGTTAACTTATAGCGAAGCCATTGATCAAACAATTATATTTAACATATTAGCCTCTGTGTGGTTATTTCATAAGCGGCTGTGGAAACTAGCAAGTGAGAGAGAAACTGATGAGGGGAGGAGCAGCAGGACAGAGAAAACCTCCAGCCACAAGACCCTGTCTTGAAAACAAACAAACAACAAACCAAAAAAGGTTAATCATTTGCCCAAGTTTATACAGACAATAAACACAGGAGAGGGCCAGGTCTTGGGTGCCCAAGGCCAGTGTTCCCTCCTTGTTTGCTTTGCCTCTGGCTGTGGTGGCCACCAGCCACCTCCATTTCCAGGTGCTCTCGTGGCCAAAGTCCAAGGTCCAATAATTTTGCTTCCCTCCTCCTTCAGTTCAATTAGACGATTACTGAGTCTAATTACATGCAACTATAATTTATGAGAATGATTTTAAAGTAAGAAACAAAAAATCGGGGCTAGGAAGATGAACTAAACCTCTGAAACTGAAGAACACTTGCTGCCCAAGCAAGAGGCCCTGAACCCAGAGCCCCAGTACCCAAGTCAAAAGCTGGGTCCTGACCCGGTGTCTATAACCCCAGCACTGAGGGAGCTGGAAGCCAGGGGATCACCTGAGCTCTCCAGTCATCAATCAGCCTCATGCCAGATTCAGGGAGACCCTGTGAATGAGACATAGAGCATTTGGCCTCCGCATGCTTGTACAAGTGCATACACGCGCGTACACACACACACACACACACACACACACACACACCACATAAACACATACACCATACACAAACACACACACACCACACACACACACACTACACACACACATACCACACACATACGTACCACATACACATACACCATACACAAACACACACACACACAAACACACCACACACAAACACACACCATACACACCACACACACACATACCACACACATACGTACCACATACACATACACCATACACAAACACACACACAAACACACCACACACAAACACACACCATACACACCACACACACACATACCACACACATACGTACCACATACACACACCATACACAAACACACACACATACATACACACAAGTGCGTGTACTCGGGTGAGTGAAAAATACAGGCCTTCCTGGAAGACCTGACAAACAAAAGGTAAGCTTCCTAAAAGGCCAAGGAGCCTCAAGTGGTTACTAAAAGACTATTAAACAGTGCTTTGAAAGAATGGTGTGGTGGTGTGAATAGAAACGGCTCCCATAGGCCCATAGGGAGTGGCACTATTAGCAGGTGTGGCCTTGAGGTTTTAGAAGCTCAAGCAAGGCCAAGTGAGTCTCAGTCTCTTCCTTCCCGCAGATCCAGAACTCTCAGCTTCTTCTCTAACACTATGTCTGTCTGCATGCTGTCAGGATTCCTGTCATGATAATGGACCGAACCTCTGAAACTGTGAGCCATCCCCAGTTAAATGTTTTCCTTTATAAGAGTTGTCATGGGGGGCTGGAGAGATGGCTCAGTGGTTAAGAGCATTGCCTGCTCTTCCAAAGGTCCTGAGTTCAATTCCCAGCAACCACATGGTGGCTCACAACCATCTGTAAAGAGGTCTGGCGCCCTCTTCTGGCCTTCAGGCATACAGACAGAATATTGTATACATAATAAATTAATTAATTAATTTAAAAAAAGAGTTGTCATGGTCGCCAGGTGGTGGTGGCGCACGCCTTTAATTCCAGCTCTTGGGAGGCAGAGGCAGGGGGATTTCTCTGAGTTCGAGGCCAGCCTGGTCTACAGAGTGAGTTCCAGAACAGGCTCCCAAAAAGCTACAGAAAGAAACTCTATCCTGAAAAAAGCAAAAAACAAAACAAAACAAAAAACCCCCACCGAAGCTGCCGTGGTCATAGTGTCTCTTCATAATAATAGAAAACCCTAAGACAAGACGTTCCTAGTCCAGGGAAACAGCAAGAACCAGAGATGCAAACAGCACTGTGGTGTGACTGCCCTGAGGTTGGCAGCTGGGTTGTATCTACTCTGTCTACTTCACAGTGCCAGGCAACCCACTGCCCAGCGTAGTGCAGAAGTGAAGGACTCCTGATGGAAGGTGGGGGCAGGGTGGGGGGGCATGCGCTTAGCACGAGGCAGTGGGTTGCTGGCACTGTGAAAAGGGGAACGGGAATATGTGTTGGACTCACACAATCACAGAATGGAGACAAGATCGAGTAGAAGGAGGAGGGCACAGAGTGGCAAGGATTTGTGCCATTAGAAACCAGCAGCATAACTCAGGCCACCACCTGGGAGACTGAGGCCAGCCTGGCCGGTATTGTGAGACTTTGTGTGAAGTCATCATAGTAATAAGTAACGGGTCCCTTTAGAATAAAAATGTAAGTATGATCCCCACATCTGGCACTGGCAGATGACACACACACACACACACATATATATATACATATATCAGGAGAGAGATAGAAATACAGATAGATATATAGATTTTTTAAAAGACAGATTCTAAGTATGTAGACATGGCTGATCTGGAACTCACAATGTAGACCAAATGGGCCTTGAACTCACAGAGATCTGCTTTCTCTGCCTTCTAAGTGCTGGAATAAAAAGTCTGCATTAGCACACCTGACTTGCATCATGATATTATCTGCCCTGGCCGCAATGGATCTGTTCTTCAAAGAGACGAGATCTCAGTGTTCACTAACTCCTTTCCTACCTGTTGTGTGACTCTGAAACTCCTCCGAGAAATGGCCAAAATATGAAGACTAGTGAGATCCAAGGAAAAGCAAAAGGGACTTGGAAAACCTGGTGGTTTCTGGGGCTTGAACCAGGGCTTCAGGCATGGCCAAGTGAGTGTTCTGCTGTGGGGGGTCCCGCGTGCACCCAAGCAGACAGCACCATATGGTGGAGAGAGCCAGGGGCTGGAACACTTGGCTCTTTGGTCGGAAGCCTGAGAAAGAAGTACACTTCCCGTCTCCGAGCTTAACTTGTCTCATTTGCAAAATGGAAACAATAATGTAAACTGTCTTTTATTTATTTTCAGATTCATTTTTATTTTATGTGTGCCTTTTTTGCATTTTTGTAAATGTACTACATGCATGCCTGATGCCTGTGGCATCCGAAGTTGTCAGATCCCCTAGAACTGGAGTTACAGGCCGTTAGCCGCCATGTGGGTACCGGGAACTGAACCGAGGTCCTCTGTAAGAGCAGCAGGTGGACTTAACTGAGTCATCTCTCCTGCCCCCATTAGATGGCTTAAAAAAATAATAATGGGCTGGGCATGATGGCACGCCTTTAATCCCAGCATTCGGGAGGCAGAGGCAGGCGGATCTCTGTGAGTTCGAGGCCAGCCTGGTCTACAGAGTGACAGCCAGGACTACAAAATTAAGCTCTGTCATAAATTTTCTTTTATAGAGTTGCTCCGGGGCTGGGAGGGCGGGTGAGCAAATGTTACCAAGACGCCCTCACAGTATGGATACTGTGGAGACACACAAGGTACCACTAGCTTCGAACACTGGGCTAATAACATAAATCAGAGACTGACGACACCGTTACAACAGTTTGACGGCTGCTGACATAGGGAAACAGCAGAGTCTAGAAATGGACACCAGGGTTATTTCAACCGCGCTGACCTGGCGGTAGCAAACAAAACTCGAGCTAGTGCTCTGGTCTCCATCCGTGTCGCGTTTCTCCAGTTCTTTTCCTGTTATCTCATTAGGAGATTATTTCAAGACAGGGTCTCACTATGTAGCCATGGTTGGAACTCTCTCCGTAGACCAGGCTAGCCTTGAACTCACAGAGACCCAGCTGACTCTGCCTCCCATGTGCTGTAGCTAAAGGTGTGTGCCATATCCAGTGTCTTAGGTCCAGTGCCACCACCACTTGGCCATTCTGGTTCTGAGATTTTACTATTCTGATGGAGTGCACTGAAGAAACATGCCCTAGGACACACTGGGAAATGGGAGTTCTATTTGTTTCTCTATTAATTTTTAGCTTTTTAAAGAGAGGGTTTCACTCTGTCATCAGACTAGCCTTGAATTCCAAACTAGGCCGAACTGGTGCGTTTGTGTAATTCCAACACCTGGGAGGGTGCAGGTAGGAGGACCATCACAAGTTCAAGGCTAGCCTATGCTACATAAGGAATTTGAGTTCAAGACCACCCTTGGCTATATAAGACTCTGTTTTAAAAAAGTAGGAGGGGGGCAGTTTTGCTGTTTTGTTTTTCCTGAGTCTCACTATGCAACTCAGGCTGGCCTCGAACTGAAGATTCTCCCCGAGGGCAGCTGTTAGAATGTCTGAAGGAAGACGAGAGCGCGCATTCCCGGCGAGATCTGGGAAAACCCTTACTAGCTCTCTCTGGACGACCTGTCAACCCGCCTACCTGAAGAAGCCGCTAATGAGCAGCGACACCTCTTTGTGGGTCCTCAAGTACTTTTCATTTGCGATGCGAGTCTGGATCTGAGGAGCAACAACCAAGAGTCAAAGGTCTGGGGAGAGAGATCCAGGTTTCAAGCCTAGAAAGAGGTATGAAGAGGGGGGACAAGCCAGGTCTTTTCCTGGAGTGTTTGAAACCCGGAGCAGTTTTCAGATTTTCCTTTGAGGCAGCCGCATTTCTTTTCTCTAAAGGCAGAGAGTTTCGTAGTGCCTGGGCTGTTCTGGACCGTGATGAAGCTGGCCTTGAAATTCTCTGCCTCTACCGCAGTGCTGGTGTGTGTGGTGGGTGTGGGGCGTCGGGTAGAGAGGATTGGGACCCAGAGGTTGGTGCAGGCTAGGCCAGCATGCTAGCTCCCACCAACTGAGCTACACTTCCTGTCAATTCTTTACTTGGCCAGACCCCTACTTGGTTCTTCCTGCGCTTTCATACCCGGTGGATTGGGCTCAGGGACGCTCCATAGTCCTCGGGCGTTTATCTCCAGAAACAGACCCTGCTCTGCTCTTCCCGGGGTTCTCCTTCGAGGGACCTTTGTCCTGAGGAGCCTCACTTTGATCAAAACAGGTAGACGCACCTTGAAATCTCGCAACTGCTCTAATTGCTCTGGGCTCAGTGATACCGGCTCCGGCTCCCCAAAGAAGCGTTGTTGAAACGTCTCCATCTAGCCGCAGGAGGTTGTCTAGGCGACGGGCCGCGGAGAAACGAAGCCCCGCCCCGCTGTCAGCCCCGCCCCTGACCCCGCCCCTCTATAAGTCCTATCCTTTCCTGGCTCTGAAGACAGAATCCTACTGACTGAAGCAAGGTGGAGGCTACTCTTCAGCAGAATGAACTTGGACTTGGGGTGCCCAAGGGATCACTTTTCCCAGACTTAAAGACTGATTTCTGAGTTGAATTGTATCTGAAATGCGCCTTTCTTCTTGACCCCACTCGACTTCAAATACTGCATTTACTTAGCTAGAACAAACCACAAAAGAGGTTCAGAGCAGTCTTTCAGAATCCAGCCCCCAGCTTGGGCAGACTGTGCTTGCGTAGAAAAATCTAGGCTTCTTCCCTTCCTACTGGCCCAGAAGCCAAGCACTCCATCTGTTCCATAGACAGACACTAGATATTGGAAGTCTGGGTTCCTAAAATACGAAAGCACCCCAGAGCGTGGAGGGAGCCAATCTCTGCAAAGACAAGAACATTTTCAAACTCAGAATGCTGGACCTAGCCAGCGCTCTGGCAGAATTTCCCTTTTTGTAATGACTTTCTCAGGTAGATCAATTTTCTCTTCACCCTAGGCTCCTCATAAATTGTAAATTATTTCTCTCTCGACTGAATAAGGGAAGGGAAAGGGAATGAACTGACTGCAAGATTTGTTCTTTTAGTATCTAATTAAGAAGGGTAAGCAAAGCCGGGCGGTGGTGGCGCACGCCTTTAATCCCAGCACTTGGGAGGCAGAGGCAGGCTACAAGAGCTAGTTCCAGGACAGGAACCAAAAAGCTACGGAGAAACCCTGTCTTGAAAAATCAAAAAAAAAAAAAAAAAAAGGGTAAGTGAAACACAGAACCTCAGCTCTCAAAATAGCTGCCTGACAACATACACACACATACAGACCACACACACACACACCACACACACACATACAGACCACACACACACACACATACAGACCACACACACACACACACACATGTGCACACCAGTTTCCCTTGCTCACAGAAATGGCACCCAGCAGAGACCTTCTGAGAGGCAGGAGACAGAATCCCAAAAGAGTCTGGGACTTGTGAACACTGCTCCCCAGAGCAAAGACATAGCGTGAGAAACAAGCTGAATGTCTGGCCATGGAGGGATCTCCCTGCGATCTGCTCACCTCTACATTTCCGAGAGAACAGCAGATGCAGGTGGGCCAGTCAGTGGCTATAAGCGTTCTCCTAGGAGCCCATCTGGGTTAGCAATCATTTGAGTTGTTTATCCGTTTTTTTAGGAGAGAGAGTTAATGGTGAGAGGGAGATAAGCTGCCATCTGTCGGAAGTGATGTTTTCCCAGCAAGAGCAGAGGTTACCCAAGGGTGATAGTTTCTATAAGCTGAGGCCAACTTCCTCCTATCCCATAGAGGGAGCGGTCACAGTGAAATCCGCAGACTTGTAGGTAGTGTGGCCGTCACAGCCTCTCAGTTCTTGAATCTTTGAGATGTGGCTGTGTTAGATAAGCCAGAAATTTAAAATACACTTTGGATCTTGAAGGCTTTATGGAAGAAAATAATATAAACTATCATCTCAATAACTTTACATGTACTGCTTGTCAAAATGGTATTTTGAATAAAGTAGGTTAAATAAGCTGTCTTTGTGTATGTGTATGTCTGTTGTACACATGTGTGAAACCAAGTGGCCATTGCCCATTGTTAATCACTCACCATCTTCCTTTCACTGAACTTAGAGCTCACTGGCTGGCCAGGCCACCCACGACAGCCCAGAGAAGCAGGAATCCACATTCCCTGACTGCCCAGTGAGGGGATTTGGACTCAACAATGCATCCAACATTTTATGTGGGTGCTAAGGACTTGGACTCAGGCCCTCATACTTCTGTAGCAAGTACTCTACCTCTGAGCCACCTCCCTAGCCCCATAAAATGATTTAAAAAACAAGACAGGGTCTCACTGTAGCCCTAGCTGACCTGGAACTCAACACGTAGACCAGGCTGGTCATAAACTCAGAGAGTTGCTTATATCTGCTTCCCAAATCCTGGGATTAAAGGCATAAACCACATCTCCTAGCTCCATTATTATTTATTTATTTTTCTTTTGCTTTTTCAAGGCAGGGTTTCTCTGTATAGTCCCAGCTACCTTGGACCTCGCTATGTAGACCAAGCTGGCCTTGAACTCAGAGATCTGCTTGCCTCTGCCTCCCAAGTGCTGGGATTAAAGGTGTGCACCACCACTGCCTGACTATTTATTTTCTGGTTTTTCAAGATAGGGTTTCTCTTTAGCTTTTTGGAGCCTGTCCTGGAATTCGCTCTGTAGCCAGGTTGGCCTCAGACTCACAGAGATCTGCCTGCCTCTGCCTCCTAAATGCTGGGATTAAAAGCATGTACTACCACTGCCCGGCAATAAAATTATTTTTACATGTAGTTTCCCGAAATGGATGCAATCTTGGGAAATGGAGGCTGGAAGATCAGAAATTCACTCTGTGCTACATAGCGAGGTTCGGGCCAGTTTGTGATACAGAAGACCCTGTCTCAAATAAATCGATAATTTGTAAAAAGTCAGTAAATGAGCCAGACATGGTGGTGCACACCTTTAATCCCAGCACTCCAGAGGCAGAGGCAAGACGGTCTCTGTGAGTTTGAGACTAGCTGGTCTATGTAGAGAGTTCTGTTGTAATAGGAGCGGCAGGGCTGCGTCCCCAGCACCCCGGCCGCCTGGCTAGCTTATGCCCCGAAATAACAACACACAAATTGTATTCTTTAAACACTACTTGCCCACTATATCTAGCCTCTTCTCGGCTAACTCTCACACCTGGATTAGCCCATTTCTAATAATCTGTGTAGCCCACGAGGTGGCTTACCAGGGAGATTCTAGCCTACGTCCATCCTGGGTCAGAGCTTCATCGCGTGTGCCTCAGAGAGCAGAGCTCTCATGTCCGCCCGGGAGAGGGGAGCATGGCGTCTCTCTCAGGCGTCTGCCCCTGAGAGGAGAGCTGTCGAGTCTGAGCTCACTTCCTCTTCCTCCCAGCATTCTGTTCTGTTTACTCCTCCCACCTATGTTTTAACCTATGAGGCCAAGCAGTTTCTTTATTACTTAACCAATGACCTTCCTCCATCAGAGTTCCAGGATAGCCAGGGCCACATAGAGAAAATCTGTCTCAAATCAATAAACAAACAGGTCAGCAATGTGATCAATGCTTAAAACACTTGCCACACAAACCTAAAGACCTGCGTTTGATTCCCCAGAACTCACATTAAGGTGGAAGTAGAGGCTCCACCCTTAAAAGCCGTTCTTTGCTCTTCACACATGTATTGTAACATGTGTGCATGTGTGTGCACCCACGAAGACAAATACAAATTGATAATGTAATTTAAAATGTTTAGAGGAGGAAAGGGGACTCCACAGAGTTGCCTTCTGACCTCTGCATGCAAGCCATGACACACACACCTCAATAATCAAATAATACAATAATAATAAATAGGAAGTAAATAAAATTTTAAAGTTAGCAGCTTTCTTGGGAGTAGTTGAGACAGGCTCTCTCGGTGTAACTCTGGCTGTCATGTAGCTTGCTATATAGACCAAGCTGGCCTTGATCTCACAAAGATCGGCCTGCCTCTGCCTCCCAGTGTGGGCTTATAGGCATGTGACACCACTTTTGTCCCCATTTAAAAAATTATTTTTATGTATATAGACGTTTTACTTGTATGTTTTACTTGTATGTTTGGGTACTATGTGCATGTATTGCTGCAGAGGCTAGAAGAGGGCATCAGATGGCCTGGAACTGGGGCTACAGATGGTTGTTAGTCATGATATAGGTGATGGGAACCGAACCTGGGGCTACAGACGGTTGTCAGTCATAATATAGGTGATGGGAATTGAGTCTGGGGCCTCAGAAAGAGCAGCCAGTGACCATCTCTCCAGCACCTTAAAGGCAGAAATCTTCTCATACATGGCAGCTTAGCTTTGACTGAGGAGGAGCTAGCTAGCTTGTGGATGGTGGGCAGAGAAAATCCTCTGCTCCTGGGGCTCCCCCTTAGTCTTTACCTCACAGAGCTCCCATCCCCCCAAGACTGAAAGAACTTCAGAGATTGTGCCCACAGCCACTCATCTTGGGGAGTCTGATTGACAGCACCAATCTGGACTGGACACTGAGCAAAGGATTGAGACCCTTTGCCGTCTGCAGCTGTCTCCCAGTTACTGCTCGGGAGGAGGAGCCAGAAGGGTTCATTGAAATTCATTTTTGTCGATGTTTAATATTTCAATTAAGATGATTAGGCCCAAGCCTGAATGAGCAGCAGGGAGGCAGACCAGCTGAGAAGACACACAGTAATGAGATCAGTGGGCCCATCCACTGGGTCCCCCATGTTAGCAGGGCGTGATCTGTTTAACATCTCCACAAATGCCAAGATCGGATTAGAAAGGCAAGAAAGGAGAAGTGGGGGTGGGGCCGGTGAATGGAAAGTTACTGTGGAGAAAGAGCTTCCCACTTCCTGGTCTGCTGGCACTGCCATGGCTTCTCCTGGCCACTCATCATAGAGTCCCCATTACCCTCACCGTCTTGTTTCATTTTAGGGCACCCTGTCAGGAGGACCTGCACATCTATCTATATGGTGAAGTGTGATCAAGTCTCCACACAGACACTCAACATACACACCTGCCGGAATGTAGTAGCTTCAGGCCATAGAAACCCAGGTTAAAGGAGGTGGACATGGTCACCAAGGAATGGGGGAGCAGGAGGAAGGTCACCAGGGACTCTCATGCAGTGCTTCAGGGGCACAGAGGGAAAGACAGCCAGCCAGGTTCACATCACTGCATTCCCACATGGAATTCTAGGTGTGGGACCCAGCCTACCCAGGCTGGAGTCTCAGCTGGATGTGTTTCCAGCTGTGTGACTTTGGGCAAGTTATTCAACCACTCTGTGCCTTGGTTTCTTCATCCATATCATATAGGGCGGTGTGTTTAACAAGTTAGGAACCTCACACGTTTGGAACAATGCCTAAGACATGGTTCTGCTATTTCAGATTCAGAAGAAGAATCTTTTTTTTTTTTTTTTTTTTTTTTTTTTTTTTTTTTTTTTGGTTTTTCGAGACAGGGTTTCTCTGTGGTTTTGGAGCCTGTCCTGGAACTAGCTCTTGTAGACCAGGCTGGTCTCGAACTCACAGAGATCCGCCTACCTCTGCCTCTCAAGTGCTGGGATTAACGGCGTGCGCCACCACCGCCCGGCAAGAAGAATCTTCTTGTTGTGATAACTCAGGAACGGAAGCCTCCGGGGTGCATCTGGGAGTCTCAGAGACACCCACAGCACTCTAGAGACATCAGCTCCACCCTGGGTAGAGGAATAGAGTAAGAAGAGCAGGAAGCAGGGAGGTCTACAGAAGCTGCCAGTGAAGTGGGGATGGTGAGCCTGGACCGCTACCACTGAGAGCTGATGTCCCCAGACCCACCCTGTACTGAGCAGGCACCGTGCTTGAACAGAGAGGGCCAACCTTCCTCTGGGTCATGGAACACATGATCAGGTTTTGAAGTATAATTGGTTTCATTTGGGGGCGGAGGGGAATAATGGTCCCTAAATACGTTTTTTGGCTCCTCTCATCTGCCGCCAAGCAAAGGAAGGAGTAACTGGGTATTGGCCCCCAAGGGAGCCTGGCAGCTGTGCGTGTTCCCATAGAAGGAATCAGGACTCTCCACATCACAGGTTCTTTGCATGAAGTGTTTGTTAAGCACCTACTATGTATGAGCAAGACACCACACCAGACTCTGAGCAGTGGGATGCCGAATTAAAGGGAATCTTGGTCTTCAAGAGACTTCTTCCAAGTGAGGGCTGCCAGCAGCTGGGCTCCCTGCCCATACACTTATACACACAAACCCCCCAGAGAGAAGGGGGTGTCTCCAAATGCCAGACTGCTATAGTTCCCCTTGCTTTCTTTTCGGGGAAAATTATGCAGCCCTCTTTCTGCACTCACTTCCACTAGCTCTCTTTCCCCACACCCTTTGCATTTTCCTCTCTGCCTCACTTTTGCTCTTTCCCCCCTAACCCTGTGACTGCTTCTTCATCTACACCTCCCTTTCTGCCCCTCAACCTGCTGCCTGTTCTCCTCCGTTTCTCTTCCTTGATTCCTCATTCTCAGGCTCCCCAAACACCAGACTCCCCTCTGCTCCCCACCCCCAGCTTCCATCCCCTGGGTCTTCTCTTCCTCTTCCAGCACCGGGGACAGCTCCAGCCCCCGGAACAATGGACCCCACCTTAGGGCTCCTCTATAAATTCTCCATCGTAGTGTATTGCCCAATTCCTGATTGGGGAGTAAAATGGGGGAAGGGTTGTTAACAAGACCAGCTGCTCTTCTAGGGTGGAAAGGGAGTCAGGGAGGATAGAGATAGAAAGAGGGAGTGGCTCTTGCCTGGGTTGTGCGTCTCTCTCCAGAGTAGAGAATTTGTATTCTACCCCTGAGACTGACATCACTGATGTCAGGGGAAAGGAGGTGGGAGTGGGGAGGAGAGTGGGGAGGGGGGGGGAGGTTTTTGTTGAGGAGAGCACGGCCGGAGAGCAGAGCTCCGGGACCCAGGTGACTGGGAAAGAAGGCAGCCCTAGTGTCGGAAGTAGCCGGCAGCGGTCCAGGCTGGGGGACCATCCAGGGTGGGGGTGGGAGGGGGGTCGAGGGAGAACCTGAAGGGGGCAGGGCAGAAGGGACCCCCGGAACCCTGCCGCCATCAGAGATCAAGTATTTGGCATCAGGGATCTTCGGACCCAGCAGAAGGATCAGCCACAAGGGAGGTGTCCTCCCTAGGAAGCCAACGAGAGAGTCACCTCCCCCACATCAGGAGCAGGGACCCCTCATGACGCCGCTGGCAACCATATCAGGCCCCTAGCCTCTCAGCCTCCTTCCGATCGCCCTCCTCTTACTCTTTCCTCCTCTCTTGTGGCATTTGTGCCTTTACTCCTGCCCTCTGCGCTCCAGCACTCCTGTTCCGACCCAAACGCCCCAGGGCTTAGCTGCCCTGACCCCCCATCCTGGGATATTTGCCAGATCTGGGAGGGAGATCATTTGTTTGGGCTATGCCCCCTGGTGGCCTGACAGTATCTGCCTAGACCCCTGACCCCTAGCCCTCAACTCCCCAGGCCTCCTTTGTGTGAAGAGCCCTCCTCTGATCAGCACTGTGGTTGGGGGCCAAAGGGAAAGCCGGCCCTGCTGGGCCCCTGGGCCCCACCACCTGCCTCCTTGTTGGGCAGCTTCCCTTGTCTTTGGGCCTCTCCCTGCTCCCCCCTGGCCCCTCCTCCTGGGCCGCCCCAATGAAGGAGCCGGATGCCATCAAGCTGTTTGTGGGGCAGATCCCGAGGCATCTGGAGGAAAAGGACCTGAAGCCCATCTTCGAGCAGTTTGGTCGGATCTTCGAGCTGACTGTCATCAAGGACAAGTACACCGGGCTGCACAAGGGTGAGGGGTCAGGCCAAGCTGGAGAGGAGGCAGCAAGGATGGAGGAAACCGGAGGGATGGAATGGCTGGGAAGGAATGATTTGGAAGCAGAGTTCAGGGGCTGGGGACTGGATGGAGGAGTTGAATGAGAACTCAGTTGAGTGACAGGGACTTTGGGGTGGAAAACTAAGGAGAACTGTACTTAGAGATGGAGAAGGGTGCTGATGGCATGGGAGAAACTCCAGAAGGACCAGAGGGACAAGTTTGAGGAGAGAGGACCAATATTGACAATGTGAGTAGCCCCAGATGATGTTGGAACGGCCGGCCAGGTGTTCAACCTAGAAAGAGTAGGGTACAGCCAAGCCAGGGCAGCCCAGGACGAAAGTGACGAGCAGAGGAGAGGGACATGGGGAAGAGAGACTGGACAAGGTTTGTAGGACTTAGGAAGTTACTAGGAAAATGCTCCTCAGGGCTCTCCAAGAGCTGCACTGCTAAACTGGGCTGGCCTGGGATCAGCACTTGGAGAGCTCCAGATATGCTGGGAACCCTGGCCACACCACCTCCCCGCTCTCTGGGCTCAGAAAAAGCACTTCCGGCTGCTGCTTTTCCTCTTCCTTCTCCATGCACAGCCTGCACCTGCCTCTGGTGGAGTCTAGGAGACCTGAGAAGTAGGGGAAATGGAAGAGGAGAGGGTGATGATGACCAAGATGGAGGGAAGAAGGGGAGAGAGAGGAAAAAGGAGGAGAAAGGGGGAGAGGGAGAGAGAGAAGAGAGAGAGAGAGAGAGAGAGAGAGAGAGAGAGAGAGAGAGAGCGCCCCACATTGCCCTACCTGCTTGGAAATCACAGCTCTTCCTGACCCAGTCCCATCTCTCAACACATCAAATGCTCTCCCTCCTGTGTCCCTCACCTCAGGTCTCTGCTCCAGAAAAAGGGTATAATTTTTATCCCTCTGGGATGCCTCCCCAACCCAGCTGGCAGAGATGGCAAGAAGGGGAAACGCCTTCCCCATCCTCAGTCTCCTGGGGAAACCCTAGGAAGGGGAAACTGGGGACTCACCCCAACCCTGCCTCTCCACCTGTGTCTCCTCAGGATGTGCCTTCCTGACATACTGTGCCCGCGATTCAGCCCTGAAGGCCCAGAGTGCCCTGCACGAACAGAAGACTCTCCCAGGGGTGAGTTCTGCGCTCTGCAGGGTCAGGGGGCTGAGAAGAGTCTCAAGAGTGGCAGGGCACCCACAGCCCTCCCAGGACACTGAGCTGTTTTCCACCTCTTGTCCTCAGTGGGAAACCCTTCTAGCATCCTTCCCTTCTGTAGATGTGTGGAAAAGAAGGATTCCTGGAGTAGATGGGACCTTTTCTGAGGGGTGCGTGCCGCCCCTCCCCCACTCCTCATTCTGTCCCCAGGCCACGCTAGAGGGAGGACCTAGCTGAATGGGAGGCTTGCACAGTAGACTGGACACCTGTGTCAGAGGGAGCGCGAGATGCCCAGGCACTCTTTTGTGGTACTGGATAAGGCAGGCTGGGTGGCTGTGAGGGGGGGAGGGGTGCTTCCCTGAGAACAGGCAGCTGGGCTTCTGAGACCACGCAGGCTCCCTTCCTGTCTCCCAGGAAGAAATCCAAACAGAGCCACAGGGCATCAAAGTGGAGCAGGGTCTGAGGCGGACAAATGAGTTTGGGGACAGCAGGCAAGGGGAGAGCTGCTGTGAGCTTGAAAGACCAAGTGCCCTGGGAGGATGGGGAAGCAGAGGTGACTCTGAGGTGGCTTCCCTCTTGCAAAGTTACATTTCTTTGTCTCTTGAGCCAGCCTCCTACCAGCCTGGGCTGGTAACCTCTAGAAGCTTCCCCTCCTCCCCAAGCCCCTTTGCCCGTCTCTCTGCTTCTCTTGGCTCTCAGACTGTACCAGGTAGCCTTTCCTGAAGCCTCATTGCCCACGGCAAACCTTGGCTCAGCACTGTCTGGGGGTTGGAGACATATCTGTCATAGCCTCCACGCCTTCCCCACGTGGGACAGAACATGGTACTGACTGACCATCCTGAAAGAAAACAAAACAGATGGGGTGGGGATATAGAAAATAGAACTACTCCTCCCCTGACTTCAAACTCTCTGGAGGTCACCTCTAGCCCTCCCCACCATTTTATCCCAACCAACAGGAACTGCCACTGCCCAGAGTGGAGGGTTGGTTCATGCTAGGTGCATGCTAGCCAGCAGGCCAAGGGATCGAGAGAGAGAGAGAGAGAGAGAGAGAGAGAGAGAGAGAGAGAGAGAGAGAGAGCATGTTCATACGCATGTGCAAATGAGCACCTTAAAGGCCAGGTGAGGGGTACATGCGAACTGCTGAGTTCCAACTTTCCCTTCTTTTCCTCTCTGGAGGGCCCCCACAAATCAGTTTTTACCTCCACTGCTGTGAGTTTCCTGTTCCTCATTTCAGAGCTCCTGCAGGAACTGGAGGGTCGCGGAAGGAGCCCAAAAAAGGCCAGAGAAGGGACTTGGATGAATGACACAGTTTGGGCCAGGCAGGTGCCCCAAAGGCAGAGTACCAGCTAGGGATAGCTCCCCTGTATCTGGTCCCCTCCCATTGCCTCTGAAGCTCAAGCAAAACTCTGTCTTGGATAAGACACCCCCTGCCTTTCCTGAAATCACAGTGGGCTGGGCATGGGAGTGGGTGAAGGCCCCTGCCAAGAATGCTCCTCTCGCTTTGCTCCAGACCTCCCAGGTGACACGAAGTTCCCACGGTGGCCTTTGCCACAGTTGACAGAATCCAGAGGGACTGATAGAGTTTCTAATAGGAAATGAGGGGTTCGGTTCTTCCAGGAGAATCACATGCTAAGGGGTTGAGAAAGCTGGCACGGGGCAGTCAAGGGAACAGACACCTGGAGAAAACTCATCCTGCCATTTGCCCCATCAGGTGTGTGTGTGTGTGTGTGTGTGTGTGTGTGTGTGTGTGTGTACATGGTGTCAGACAATACACAGTTCTGTTAGTAACTTTTTGTTCCTGTCTCCAAGTCCTCCTGCAAAGTCTATTTTAACGAGGACACTTTAACCTGCTTCCTGCTCCCCGTCTTCGTCGCCCAGAATCTAGAAGGCACTACCATATTGAGATGTTTCAGGCACGTCTGTGGCTGTTGAGTCCTGTTCTCTCTTCTCTCCAGGAAGAGTTCCCAGGGTGGCTCTGTCCCAGGTTTCTGGATCCATTCTGAGCAGGGTGTGGCCTCTTGGAAGTTGCTTGTGGGTTGCCTCTGCCTGGCTGATTCTTTCCTGTCGGTTCTGGATCAAACTCCCACTCTGGAGATGTAGGCATTCCCATCAGCTTGAGGCCGGGAGGGTGGGCTCAGGGCACCAGGAACTGTGGAGCCCAGAGTGGCAGGGCTCCTGGTCTGCACCCTCAAGACAATTAGATTTTGAGGAAGAGCGAGCTCTTTTTGGAGGTGGGAACTTGACTGTTTATGAGAGGGATGGACTGAACAGTGCTTCTGTTAGGAAAAGCAGCTCAGAGCACCTTGGCTGGAGTGTCAATAGCCCCTTTTTCTTTGGGAGGCCCTTGGGAGGGCTTATCACCTGGTGGGTGGTAACTAGGGAAAGGCGCCTGCCTGGTTGCCGAGTAAACACAGCGCAGCTGGACTCAGGGGAGGGGGCAGGTGTGCCCAGGCAAGCTAACAAAACTGAGCTTCCCGCAGGAAGTGCCAGGCCAGGAAGGAGTGGGACTGGGAATGTGCATTGGGAGTGCTCTGTGAGGGTGTTGTGGGGGGGTTGTCCACACTGTGGTCTGCGGGGTAATCTCTGCGAGGATGGACACCAGCCATGGGTATTTACTGACGTGCTATTTTCGTGCTGGAAGCCTGGGCAGGCACGACATCATTCCTCTCCCAGGTTCTCAATCTCTGAGAGAACAGCAACTTCCCTGGAGACTTGTCGGAAAGGGCCTAGTACCAATCGTAAGAATGTCCATGCTGTGGCCCTGACTGGACTGTCTCCACATCTTGAGGGGGGATGTGAAGTAGCTGCTGTGGGGCCTGGGAGAGAATCTCCTGTTTTGGTTACAGTACAGAAGAGGTAACTGACCATAAGTCTCTAGCCCACAGACCTCCCCTATATGTGTTCTCTCTCTCTCTCTCTCTCTCTCTCTCTCTCTTTCTCTCTCCTGAGGAGATTGAGTCTCAGATGGGATAATCCCAGATTGGTAGGAGGTAAAATCTGGGGGGGGGAGGGCAGATTGGCAGGAGGATTTATGAGATTGTGACCCTCCCACCCCCCACCAGCTGCTCATAGACCCAGAGATTTGGGGGAGGGAGGCTGGGGCAGGAATATCATTGAAGATGAGTCTTAGGTTTGATCTGAACACCTGGCTGGCAGAGTCCAGCCAGGAGCTGTATTTTTGTATTTCTCCTTGTTAATTCCAATCACTCAAGGTCTCCAAATGCTAGAGGACCAAAGGTAAGGAGCACCTGGCTACAGAATGCCTGGTCTGTCTTCTTGAGGAAGTTGAAGCCCAGGGGAGAGAAATGACTTAGCCATGGCTCCTAGCGAAAGGCAAGCCTCCTAGGATCTAGGTCTCCTCGTTAAATGATTTTCGTTAGCCTACCCTTAGCCTCACTCTTAGCAGACTGTCGGTCTCTGGAGTTAAGACTGTCCCACCACCACATGAGTGAGGGTACCGGGTGTGACCCTAGCAGTCAAAGTCCTCACTAGTGACAGAAATTCAGCGCTGAATCCTGAACGCTTTCGCTTCCCAGCAGCTACCACGCTCGCGACCTTGGTTAAGGAAATCAACCTGTGGGAGTTTCCCAAGTCCACTCACCAAACAAGACACGGGGAATAGAAGTAGGAATTTTTCTACCCGCACTGAACAAAGGGTGGTACTGTGGGTGTCGGGGAGAAGGTAGCGCTCTGGGGTACCAGGGAGCCAGGGAAGATTAAAGGGAGCACAGAGCCTCCGCTCCGTCAGCGCTTTCTCAGCTCTTCTGACCATGGATTGGTTCTGGAGGAGAAAGCAGGAGACTGAGCAGTGTGGTCCCTGCAGGGCTCACTCCACTCACCTCCCTCCCTCCAGGACCAGGAAGCTTTCCTGGGCCCCTCCCCCACCTCCCAACCCCTCCCCAATCCTCCACCCCCAGCATACCCTGTTCCCACCCCCCCTCCAGTCCTTCTTTGGGTGTGTGTGGAGAAGCAGAAGTGATGACATCACCACGGTCGCTAGGGCGACGGGGACGGATAAATCAGGCTGAGTGGGCGGTTGCCATGGTGCGCATTCTCCCGTTGCCACGGAGACTGGGCATCTGCTCCCTTTGTGCTGCCCGAGGGCCTTCCCCCTGGGGTCAAGGGGTGTAGGGGAGCAGAGAGGCAGACACACCTCCAGTGGTTAGAAGGAATTCTAGGCCTCTGTGGGGGTCTCCCTCATCCTTCCTTGGGGGTTCTCCATGGGATAGCCCCTGTCTGCTCCACTTTGCAGATGGGGGCAGCTCTGGTTGACCAGGCCCTTGGCTGAGCTCTGACTTCAGAGCTGGGTCCTATGGACCGGTATTTCTCACCTAAGAGAGCAACACCTATGGGTGGTGGCCCAGGCCTTCTGAGGCCAACCTGAGCCCAGAGCTGCGCCCTCTGAGCATCTTCCAACACATCCCCTCTCCTCAGTACCTTTAATCCTTTCAGGTCTGAATCCTAGACAAACCCTGCCCTTTCCTTCCCATCATCTTAGAGGGTTGAGGCAACTTTGTTCCTGTCAGTCTCTGGCCATCTCAGCTGGGGAGGGCTCTTGGATGTTCCAAGGAGGTCCTGCCAGCTTCCTTCTTTTCTCTCCGATAGATGAACAGGCCGATCCAGGTCAAGCCGGCCGACAGCGAGAGTCGAGGAGGTAGGTTCTACAACTTTGGATTCAGCCCCTTTCCTCTTACCCCCAGGCCCAGGGTTTGAGAGAGATGAAGGGTGGCCCTTCCTAAGGAAGGAAGGCTGATGGTACTGGAGAACTGTCTCAGGCTGGGGTTAGGGATGGGCGAGTGTGTGGTAGTAGGTGAAATCTGACCCCTTCGCAAAGATGACAAAAATGAGGCCAAGGTTCAAGTCCTCCTTTCTTGACCTGAGATGAGAGTACTGCTCATTACTAAATTCTAATTTTCAGCTATCACTCCTTTACACCTAGAGATATTGTCCCCCAAGACGGGGGAAGTCTTGTTAGGAGCAACAGGTACACATAGAAGGTGAAAGGCTAGGAGAGTGGTCAGGGGGTCTGAACATTACTCCCCTCCCATGCCCCGCCCCCAGAAGACCGGAAGCTCTTTGTGGGGATGCTAGGAAAGCAGCAGACAGATGAGGACGTCCGGAAGATGTTTGAACCATTTGGGACCATAGACGAGTGCACTGTGCTTCGGGGGCCAGATGGGACCAGCAAAGGTAGCCCTCCCACGGCTCCCCTTGTCCACGGAACCCCAGAGGACGCCCTCACGTGAGGTACGCCCAGAGGTAGGCATTTACCCTCTTCTTCACCCCAATGTTCGTTCACCCCAGGCTGTGCCTTCGTGAAGTTCCAGACTCATGCCGAGGCCCAGGCAGCCATCAACACCCTTCACAGCAGCCGGACCCTGCCGGTGAGCCCCACTCCCCACCCACCAGGCCCTAGCATAGAGCAAAATTCTATTTAAGATAGGACTTCTGATTTATTATTTTTAAGTTTTTGCAAAAGAATCAATGAATTAAATATTACCTCCTATACCTACTCATCTCCAGTCCAAATTCTCTTACTCTCCTCCAGCCTCCTCTGTTTCTCAGTCTTATCTCCCATCTCTTCTCTACCCTCCCCTGCCCCCCACCTCGCTCCCTGGGGTGTCAGCCTTGCTTAGAGGCCCCACCTGCCCAGCACACACTGATACTGCTGCTTCTGAATGTTAGCCTTGGGTCACTTGAGTGCTAGCCGGAACCTAACTAGGTGCTTCCAAAAGATGTGGGGCTTCCCACAACTCAAAGCTCTCTAGCAGAGGCAGGGTGGGCATCAGACAGGAAGAGGACTCAGCATCTGATAGAACTGAACCCTGGGCCCTTCAGCTCAGAGAGTCTAGGACTCTGTGACAATCCTTGCAAACATCCCAATTGAAATTTGATTTGGCTCAGGCTAGCATGAAAGTGTGGAGAGGCATCACCGAGCTCCACGAGACCTGGGGTGTGGGGCTGGAGTCTCGGCAGGGGATGGCACAGCTGGTAGAGTAACCCCCACCGCTGATCCACTGTGGGCGCTGTCCTCTTCATCCCCACAGACCCGTCCAGTCTGAGCATTTAACTTTACACTCCTCAATTCTATCTAGCCTTTTACAAACCCAGTGTAGGGAGACAGTGGGATTAGGATCCCATTTGGACTGGGCATTGTGACGGCTGTGCTCCCAAAGAGGCCTACGACCAGGTGCTGAGGCCCTAGGGAGCAGGCGTTGACTCTGCCTGTGACACATGGGCCCATGCCCAGGGTGCCTCATCCAGCCTGGTGGTAAAGTTTGCTGACACAGAGAAGGAGCGAGGTCTCCGCCGAATGCAGCAGGTGGCTACCCAACTGGGCATGTTCAGCCCTATTGCCCTCCAGTTTGGAGCCTACAGCGCCTACACCCAGGCCGTAAGCATGCCCCGCCCCCTCCATCCCCAAAACACCGAAGCAGGGCTCGGGAGGGAGGACAGCAGTGCTGGGGGCCTGGTCCTACTCTCCTCTCCCCATCCCACAGCTGATGCAGCAGCAGGCAGCGCTGGTAGCAGCTCACAGTGCCTACCTCAGCCCTATGGCCACCATGGCTGCCGTACAGATGCAGCACATGGCTGCCATCAATGGCAATGGCCTCATCGCCACCCCTATCACTCCATCCTCAGGTAAGGCCTATGCTGAGCAGCTAGGGCTAGGGAGAAACACAGCCAGGCACATAGCATGGTGGCTGTGAGCGGGGGGGAAGCCACCAGGTCCAAGAGGTGCTGGGGTCAGAGAAGGGCCGCTTGCTCCACCCTGCCCCCAGTGTGCCAGCTCGTTCTCTGCATCTGTGTGCCTGTCTCTGCTCTGTCGCTATCATTTTCTCCTTCCTAGGAACCAGCACCCCTCCTGCCATTGCTGCCACGCCTGTCTCTGCCATCCCTGCTGCCTTGGGCGTCAACGGCTACAGCCCGGTGCCCACCCAGCCCGCAGGGCAGCCTGCCCCTGATGCTCTGTATCCCAACGGGGTTCACCCTTACCCAGGTGCGGCTCTTTGCCTGCCCACCTTGCTCCATCAGCCATCCTGGCCACCATTCCCATGCTGGCAGCCATGACACACCTTCCCTCTCCAACCTCAGGGCTTAAGGTGCTTTTCTTGCTCTCTTCCTGGGCAGGAGTGCCCCTTGGGTTCTTAGTGTTTTTGAGACAGGGTCTCTCTGTGCGGCCCAGGCTTTCCCAGAATTCATTATGTAGGCTAGGTTAGCTTGGAACTCACAAAGATCCGCCTGCCTCTGCCTTCCAAGTACTGGGATTAATATCATGTGCTACTCTACCTGGCATTCTTCGCGTTCTTGGCTAGGGCAGTTGAGACTGAGAGGTAGAGCGATTTGGCCGTAGTCAGTCATAGACCTGTCTGCGGACACTGGGCTCTTTCCCTTTTCCTACTGCCATAAGCATCTCCCCTTCTCATCTCACCCCTCACCCCTACCCTTCGAGGCTCTGTTGGCTGAGAGGAACGCTGGTGGGGTTCCCATCATGTCCCATCCCAGACCCACTCATGGCTTGTGGTGCTCCCTTCAGCTCAGAGCCCTGCTGCCCCCGTGGACCCTCTCCAGCAGGCCTATGCGGGAATGCAGCACTACACAGGTGAGGATGCAGGCCTGGGCCTGCGCATGAGCAGGGGGGTGGGACGGCGTGAGGAAAGCAGACCTAGAAACTATACACCTAAGCCTCCTTCGATGCTCTCTGCCAACCACGCCCTCAGGCTTTCCTGACAAGCTATGCCTGTGAGAGTGGATGCTTGAGGAAGCACCCCGGGACTTGATTCGAGGAAGCCCCTTCCCTGACACGCTCAGTCCTGTGGAGTCCACTGGACTGGGCTGGAGAGGGAGACAAGGCTGGCTGTGAGAGGTCGGGGAACCCCATTTGCTTTTCCTGTTTTCACTACCCTAGCAGCCTATCCTGCAGCCTACAGCCTGGTTGCACCTGCGTTCCCGCAGCCTCCAGCCCTGGTCGCCCAGCAGCCCCCACCACCACCTCAGCAACAGCAGCAGCAGCAGCAGCAGCAACAACAACAACAGCAACAGCAACAACGGGAAGGTGCCAGCCAGGGGCAGGGTCCTGATAGCTGTGAACCACCCATGTTGTGGGCTTGGGTACTCCCGATGGTTCTGCGCCAAACTCAGCTCTGGCCTTATGTGTGAGGATGGAAGGAATGGGGACCCCGGTCCCACACTGCCGGGGGCCTGGATCGGCAGCTATTCTCTGCAGCAGCCCGCCCCCACCTCTGATGGTCCAGTCTGCATTTCCCAGTCTCTGAGCTATCCCTTCTATCTCTGCTGCCACCCAGGCCCTGATGGCTGCAACATCTTCATCTACCACCTGCCCCAGGAGTTCACGGACTCAGAGATCCTCCAGATGTTTGTCCCTTTTGGTCACGTCATCTCAGCCAAAGTCTTTGTTGACCGGGCCACCAACCAGAGCAAATGTTTTGGTAAGAACATGATGATCCAAAAGACCCCATGGACATTTTTGTTTGAACTCTAACTTAGAACAAAGTTTGCCACATTCGGAGGCATTTAGGGTCTCAATGAGCTCAGCATTTGAAAGCCCGATTATACAAGACCACAAAAGAACCATCTCTGACACACCCACCAGCCCATACAGTTGCCACCCAAGCCCGGCTCTTGTAAAAACATCATAGCTTCATCTTCCTCCTTAAGAACCAAACTTGGGGCTAGAGAAGTAGCTCAGAACACTGAGCACATGTAGTGGCATGAGATCCTATGTCCACATCATACACACACGTGCAATGGCACAAGATCCTATGTCCACATCACACACATGTACGCATACATGCACACACACGTGTAGTAGCATGAGATCCTATGTTCACACACACAAACACATCCTAGATTGTGAATGGCTGGACTGGATTTACTCATTAAACCTATCATAAACCACTTCTCTCTGACTGCCTCCTGTATGTCAGGCAGGTCTCTAGGTTTTAGAGTTACTCGGAGGGAGCAGGGTGGTGCTGGGAAACAAACAAGTAGCCCTGGCGCTACGGCTGGACAGCGCTGTGGAGCCAGGCCGGCCTTATGCCCTTCTCACCCCAGGCTTTGTGAGTTTCGACAATCCGGCCAGTGCCCAGGCTGCCATCCAGGCTATGAATGGCTTCCAGATTGGCATGAAGCGCCTCAAAGTCCAGCTAAAGCGGCCTAAGGATGCAAACAGGCCCTACTAAGGGCTTCAGGTGGGTGCTGCTTTGTCCTGTGACCTCATCTCCAGACTACACACACTGGGGCCAGACCCCTTAAGTGACCCCCCACACACACCCTTCTTCCATTTACCGACCCACCATGATGCTGAGCAAAAGAAAGTGGGATCTGGGCCACTCCCTCAGCTACTAAGTCATTTGTGTCTCCTGCAAGCACGCATGCGCGCGCGTGCACGCGCACACACACACACACCCATGCGTGAGCACGTGTGCACACAAACACACCACCCCAGGGAGAGCCAAGTCTACACCTGTGTCTGCTCCCAGAGTTTTCCACAGAATCTGGTCTTGTTTGTCTGGTCAGTGTCTGTGTGTCTGTGTCTTTCTCTTTTCTGGTTTTCCTTTGGGTTGGATGTAATTAGTGAAGTAGGTTTGGGGGGGCCAGGAGGCTGCTTTAGAGAACTGGAGGGTCACAGAGCCTCTTGGCTCGGAAACCTTGTCTCCCAAGAAGTGGGGACACTCAGGTCCTGTTGCCCTAACTGCAGGTGATTTTCCCAGGGCAGTGGACGCTGGGGCAGAACACAATACAGATGGGAGTGGGCGTGGCTTGGCTTAGTGGAGAAAGTGGGATAGCACCTACCTGGTACTGAGTAGGGCCCCTCCACCCCAGTGAGGCTGTCATTCAGACTTGGGGCACAGAGCTGTGAACCCTGGCTACTTTTGATTTGTTTAATCTCCTTTGGACCAAGCCTTGAAAAAAATCACAACCCAAGAACAATACCCACATTTCTGTTTCTCCCCTTTCCCCCCAATCCTGGCTGCTTAACTCCCCCCACCCTGGGGGCCCCCAGCCCAGGGTCCGTGTCCATTGTCGGCTGAAGCCCCCATCCCGGACCCCTGCTCCGGGCCCCTGTAAGTTGCATGGAACGAGCGTGTTGTCTTTTGGAGCCAATTGTTTGTTATCTGGGGAGGGGCTGTGGAGGGAAGCGCCCCCCCAGCCCAGGCTCAGGGCCGGGGGCAGCTCGCGGGATGTGCTTGGTCAACAGTGGTTGGTGACTGTGGTTTGTGGTCTGTGCATTTTTCTCTTGCTTCCTTTGTTCCTTTCCAAAAAGGAATGAGAACAGTACCTTAGGGCTAGGAGTGGTGTCACTCCATCCCTAAGCCCCTCCTGGGTCACCCCAGTCTCTGCGGATGCTCCCCTCTCCAGGTGTCTGTCTTGTCCGTGCACCATCTTCTCCTTCCTTCTAGTTATCTCTGCTTGCCTGTTTGTCTCATTCCTTTGCCGCTCTCACCTCTAGCTCTGTCTGGTGTTTCTTCCTAATAGCTTCAGCTTCTGTTTTGTTCCACCCTTTCTTCCCCATTTCTCTCTCCCTGCTCTATGCCCTCATAGCTGGAGGGATGGGGGAGGTGAGCGGATGGTTCTGTTGGGACATGGCCTTTCTGATGGCCTGCCTTTCTCAAGTAGCCCCATCATAGGTGCCATCCCTCCCTGCCACCACCCGCCCCCTTCCCGGAACCCATGACCAGTATCAGCCATCTTCCCTGTGCGTCACCCAGATTTCCTTTCTTCACAGGTCTGGAGATACCAGAGGAAGGGCACTCTCTTCCCATGACTGGCCCTGGCCTTCTCTGCACATCTGCCCTGGGCCTTGATTGGACTCTGGGGCAAAAGCTGCTTCATGGCCCTAAGGGTCCAGGACCTGGCTCACTCCCACCACCTTGCCTCTCTGAAGGGCCATGGTTTTGCTTCCCTGGCTCCAAGAGCCTATTTCCTCCCCAGTGCCCTTTTGGCCTTTGTGAGGAAGCGAGGAATAGGCTTGGAGGCCCAGGGGTATCTGCCTTCTGCTAGGGCTCCGGAGTCGGGCCTCTGCACCCACCATTCGTTCGCACTTGTCTCCCCTTAGTGGGCCTGGAGTAGCTGTGCCCCCCTGAGGGCAGCCAGGCATCCGCTCTCCCAAGCTTTCTCACCCCAGCCTCCTCCCCACTGTAGGGGCTTCTCAGAAGCTGGCTCTCACTTCTCCCTCCACCCTCAGCTAGAGGTAGGATATCTCCAAATCCCAGGCTCCTATCCCTAACACTCATTGCCTCCCCCAAGAGCCCCCTCAAAGGAGGATGTGGGGGAGCCCTGAGGGCTGCCTCTCTGCCAGCCAGTCACAGAGACCCTCCTTTCATGAGGAAAAGACCTTCCCTGAATCCCTAAAATGTTTACAGTCTCTGCTGGCCTCCATGTGAGTACCAGGACCACCAGGGCCTCACCCAGCCCAACCAGCCAGGCGCTGCCACCCTCTTTCTGGGAGTTTAGACAATGTTGCCCTTGGACTTTTTTTCTCTCTCTTGATTTCTCCCTTTGCTTTGGGGGTAATTGGGTATTTGGTAGGAAGGGTGTGGGGAGGGGTTAAAGGGGTTTATTACCTGATCATTTTCTTTAGGAAGAAGTTTTAGGGAAAAGAACACGGGTGGGGGTGGGATGGTAGTGGGCGAGAAGGGGAGTCAATTTCTGACACTCTATGCTTTACTTATTTATTTATTCAGTTTTACTTTTGAAAAGTTGGTCTTTTCTGTCTAAATAAAGAAAGAAGTTTAAAAGCACCCAGTATGAGTCTTGGAAGGTTGAGAGTAGGGCGTTCACATTGGGGAGGGGGAGGGAGGGAGGGAAGGAGATTAGGGTTAGAGAGACAGAACTTTGAGGAAGGTCAAGCCTTGCTCATAACTTCACTCATCTTTGGGGGCTTGATTCTAGAATGCTGTTCAGAGTCAAGCACAGCGGAAGGACCTGCAGGAGTGTACTGGTCAGCAGGCCTCTCTGAAGGTTGGGGTCTTGTTTCCGGTGACACTAGGAGCTGGCTAACACTACCATTGCTGTGTGCGTGTGGTCCCGTGCTGACCCTTCGCGTTCATTCCTTATTCTCCAGCAGCCCTATGGGCAGGAGGTAATTAGCAATAGGCAGGGAAGATGCTTGGAAGGGTAGCTCCTTTCCCCAGAGTCACAATGCCAGAAAAGAGGAAGCTGTACACCTGTCCAGCCGCTGTCTTCTCACCTGTTCCTGAGGTGAAGAGCACCAGCAGTGTCAAACAGGGTGCTAGAGCGCTCCATCCGGCAGGTCTCAAAGTCAGTTCCTATGATTCTTTCCCAAGAATGCTTTCACTTGTCACACCAAGGGATCATGTGGTGTGGGCTCCCTTCACTGGGCACAGCCCACTGGTAGGCAGCAGCTCTCCCCAGGTTCTTACAGACTTGCCCTCATCCAGTTATGACCTGGCCTCAGGCCAGAGCTGTTCAGTGGAAGTGTGACTGCAGGCTGGGGATGTAGCTCAGTGGGAAAACACTTGCCAAGGGTGCCCAGGGCCCTCTACACCAACACAGAGATAATGAGAAAGAAAGCAAGGAAGAGAAGGAATCGTGGGGTGGGTGTAAATATCAGGGCAAAAGAGAAACTTACAGCCATGTGTAACTCCTCAGAGCTAACCCCACCTTTCCCTTCCCCTCCCCTCTTAGCAGGGTCCATAGTTTAGAAGAAGGCAGGCACAGCAGCACATGGCTGTAATTCCAGCACGTGGGAAGTTCTGAGGCCAGCCTGGGACAGACACACACAGACACACACACAGCACTATGGAGACACATTTGGGTGTGGCTTCAACGAAAAGCAAGTCTCAGTGTGGTAGAGATGAAGAATAGGGTGCTGTTTTCTATAGTCCTTCCTTTTGTGACAAGCAGTAACTCAAGGGCCGAGGCTTCCATGCACATGGCAGGAGAAGAGCCCATGTTGGTGGCAGCAGGACGTGGCTGGTTTATGCTGCTCGAGCAGATCACCTTTTTTCTTTTTTCATTGACTGTGGCCCATGGGATGGTGCCACCCACCCACCCACCCACCCCAGGGTACCCTTTCTCGTTCATCCTCTCAAGACATGCTCTTAGGTCAGTTTTAAATCCAGTCAAACTGGCAATGAAGACTAACCACTTAGAGGAAGGATTCAGGCAGGACACTCAGCTAATAAGGCACCTGAAATCTTAGAGATGTGTGAGTGCATCTTAGGCCGTCTGAGTGCATGCACGCGGTGACAAGAAGTCAGGGTAAGGCCAACAGGAGCTGGCAGCTAGTATTTGGGAGTTTCCCCCACAGCTATCTCAGCTTTACAACAGTTTGTAGGTCAGAACCAAGATGAGAGGTGAGTTTCAGACCAAGAGAAATCTCCCAAGATGACTGTGTCCCCTCCCTCCTGCTCCTGGCCTGCTTGTAGGCGGATGTGGCGGCACCACCTCAGTTACTGTCTAGTGTGGCCTTCTAATAACTTGCTGAGGCAGAGGAGTGTAGGTGGCACATTAACAGATGAGATAGATGTCATTTTAACTGTACAACCAAAAACCCAACACTGAGGAAAACATCCTGTAGGGAAACCAGTGCTGACAAGGGCCCAGCAGGGAAAGCCCTGATGAGTTCATATTCTCTTCCCTTTCTATGCACACACACGTGAGCTGGCCCTACCCGACGTTGCTCCTTGCTGATTTAAAAGTCATGTTCTTTTTGAGTAAGCATTTTACTTCTTGGGTCTCAAGTATTTGTGACCCAAGAGTTCCCTTGAAGGCCAAGCTTCCCTTCAAGGAGAATCTGAAGAGATCTAACCCAATGTCTTGGTTCTAGAAAAGCTTTGCTTTCTCACCTTTCAGCCTCTATTTTTAAAATTTATGTATTTAGGTTTCTCAAGACAGGGTTTCTCTGTGTAGCCGTGGCTGTCCTGGAGCCCTCTGAAGATCAGGCTGCCTTCTAGTGCTGGGATTAATGGCATGCACCCCGCCCCCACCGGGCTCAGCCTCTATTTTAAGCATTTACTATTCAATGTGCACACACATGCATGCAGACAAGCATGCACCAAGGCACGTGGTGGGTAGAGGACAATTTCTGGGAAAAGCCGATTCTCTCTTTTCACCATGTGGGTCCTGAATGACCACGGAGTCATCTTGGTGGCCCACATGTAACTGAGAATGGTCTCCAGATCATTGCATAGTCAAAGAATGAACTTCAACTCCTGCTCCTCATCTCCACCTCCCAGTTCTGGGGTCACACATGTGTACGACCACATGGCCCATTGTCCATTTCTCCAATTTCCATCCAAAGGACTGCATCCCCTCTCCTGCTCAATAAAGAGTTCCTGCCACACACACCTTGCTTTTCTCCTGCACTCATTTTGGCCTACCTTTCCCCCTAGTTTTCCTGTTAGTGAACATGACCACACTTACCCACTCATGTCCAAGTCTGGATTACAACCTTTCCATTTCTTTCCCATTTCTGGGAGGGGTGGTTGAGACAGGGTGGCCTCAGTCTTCCCTCTTTAGCCTCTCAAGTCCTGAGACTACTGACAGAGGCCATTGCACTCAGCTTCTCCCACGTCTTCTAGTCAGCCCAACAACGACGGTGGCCCCACTACTATCATTATTGTCCATACCCACTGCCCCACTACAGAAGTCTGCAGGGTGCTCCTCTGCCTCTATTCCCCACCTACTCTCCAAGCAGCGTCAACTCCAGTTCACTAAGGTTTGCCGAGTGACTTTCATATGCTTTCTTCACTGCTACAGTCCTACTGCCCTAAACAGGTGCCCTGAACACCAGAAGCTATTTAGTAATCAGGAAGAAACGACTGCCGGGGCTGGACAGACGGCTTGATAGCTCAAAGTGCTTAGTGTTCTTGCAAAGGACTCAATTCTGGGTCCCAGCACCCACAGAGTGACTCCCAACTGTCTGTAACTCCAGTGCCAGCTAATCCCAACTCACACGATACACATAAAATACCTCTAAATGACTATTAGACATCTACACTGGATTTCCCACCTGTGCCCAAACTGAATAGTCTGATACTAAAATACATTCCCTTCACAGTCCAGGGCTTCTTGCTGTTGTTTTTAGAGATTACTGACTGACTGATTTTTGGTTTTTCAAGACAGGGTGTTTGTCTGTGTAGCCCTGGCTGGCCTAGAACGTGCTCTGTATACCAGGTAGCCTCGAACTCGGAACAGACCTTTCTTTGTTCCCCTGCATGCTGGATTAGAGGCATGTGCCATCTTGCCTGACTGTAGGGTTTTTATGTGAGGGCTCACATGTGTATCTCTGCACCACATCTTCCCGGTGCCCAAAGAAACCACAGAGAGGACTGGAGAGCCTGGAACTAGAGTTACAAACGGTTGAGTCTCCATGTCCTGGGCACTGAGCCTGAGTCCTCTGAAGAACAGACAGTGCCCTTAACCAATGAGGCATCTCTCTAGGCCACCTGATTTTGAGATGGGAGCTCATGTAGTCACGATCTTGAACTTGCTATGTAGCCAAAGATGCTCTTGAATTCCTAATTCTCCTTCCTTCCTTTACTTCCCAAGAGCAGGCATTGCAGGTGTCTCTGCCTGGCCTGGCTCAACTCTTGCATCTCTAGTCACACTCCCCTATTATGTAAACTCAATGTTATTACACCACTGAAGATTTCATTGCTACAATTTTTCCTTATATCTATTCCTTCCTTTCAGTTATCATTGTGTCTGCTTCTTAATGGAATAATTAGAATAGTCTCCTAATTTATCCTGTCTTCTGAACAGTGGAAGGAGAATCACCTGCCACAAATTGCCCTCTGACCTCACACATGTGTACTGTGATTTGTGCATGTCAACACACACACACACACACACACACACACACACACACTCTATAGAAACGGGCTGGGGGAACCCTTACCTCCAACTGCATTCTTGTACATACCCTCTGTTCCGCTGAAACAGTGTTCTCACTGTGCTCTGGACAAGTCTGGTCTTTCTTACCCAGGGTTTCTTCATCCTCCATTGCTGCAGTGTCTTATGCATAACAGCCCAATACTGTTTGAGACCTGCTTGATGAAATTCTACTCATGTTAAATAATTCAAATTAATTTCCGTTTGCCTTCATCTTTAAGTCCTAATATTTATTATATTTATTGCATATGTGCATGCAATACAACTCATGTGTACACAGAGAATCACTCGTGGAAATCAAGTTTTCTTTTTCCACGTGGGACACAGGGATCGAACTCAGGTTGTCAGGCTTGGCAGCAAGCATCTTTACTGAACCATCTTGGTCCTTCCCTCAATTTTGAGACAGGGTCTTATGTGGCCCAGGCTGGCCGTGAACTTGCTGTGTAGCTGAGTCTGGTCTTACATTCCTAATCCTCCTGTTTCCTGAGTCCTGAGGTTATAGACATGCACCACCATGTCTGGGCTTTTAACTGGAACGCTCATAGCCCTGAAATCTCCTCTTAAGGCTATGACCATACCTGTATCTACTGTAGTTTCTCACACAATGTCCCATACACATGGTATTTCTTAATGGAGCTGGCTTTAACCTCTGTAATTCTAATTCTATAATTCTACCTTTCTATGGATCTCTCCTAATTAAAGAAAAAAAAAAAGAGTTTTTAATGTCTAGTGGCCAGTGTCAGATTCCAAATACTAGACATTGGTGGCTGGGCGAATGAGACTGTGAATATCGGCTCTTCCCAAATCCAAATGTCAAACTTGGTCCTTGCTCTTAGGGTCAGCTAAGGAAGAAAAGCAAGTGGTAAAGGTTATGAAAATAACG